CCCTGAGAGACACCAAAATTGCATCTTTCCGTATAAGAGGCAACTCTCAGCAATGGTCTAGGAGCATGATCACTGATCTCTCTGCTTCTGCTTCTCAATTCCAGCTCAATTCCAGCTAATTTCTCTCCTTTCTGGATTAATCTCATTCTTACTAAAGTGTCAGCCCCACTGAGCACTGCAGGCTTTACTTCTGAGATGACGCGCATTGGATTTATGCTGCATGTGTCAAAACCATGTGACTCAATGCCCCTTTTCTTTTCAGAAACTCCCCGAGAAGGAGGCAGGATACAGTGAGTATCTACCTCAATTTGCCCTTCCGTAGTGCAGCCGCACAAGGTTTCATTCTCTGCTCACGATTCCAGGCATTTCACGTTCGAGAGAACTTGAGTTCCCCGTCAGTGCGGTCGAGGAAGCTTAACCACCTTCCCTGCACCTTGCACAGCGTGTCTTACTATAGAATAAAATTGCAAGGCTGTCGTCACGTCGCGCTGCTCCCACCACCCTCAGGCACCCCTTCCAACCGCTGCGCGGTAGCAGAACAGCAGGCCCCTGAGCGAAGCAAGCTGCTGAAGAGGGGAGGGTGATGGAAGCGGGGGTGGGCATTATTTCAGAGTGCCGTTTGAACCCCCGCTTTCCAAAGCACCCCCTGCCTTAAACATGGAGACATCAGAGGCTTAAGAAGGGCCATTGTTCAAAGGTGGGTTGGAGGGACTTCAGAGTGCGATTTGGGGGTGAGCTATGGAGGCAGAGGCAGGAAGTGGGTGAGGTGTAAAGAGAGGGGGTTGGTCAAGTGTAAATAGAGGGGGTTCGCCAGGGGTGGAGGAAGGACTGTGGCAAAGGGTGGAGGGGTCAGCCGGGTTGGTGAGTGGAGTAGGCAGAGGATGGGTGAAAGATACTCGGAGTCGAGAGTAGATTTCATGCTCTTTATTCAGCTCATAGTGGTGAGGAGGAATGGAAGTTGCCCCAGAATGTCTGCTTTATAAACATTATTTACACAATGGGCCCCACGTGATTGGCTAATTCCGGGATTCGCCTGTAGGCCAATCAGGTTGCGGATTCTCTTCCACCTGGAGCCGGATTGGGTGGCTCTTGTGGACCAATCAGACTGCTGCATTCTGAATCCTATTGTTCTAGGACCAATCAGACTGCTGCATTCTGAATCCTATTGTTCTAGGACCAATCAGACTGCTGCATTCTGAATCCTATTGCTCTAGGACCAATCAGACTGCTGCATTCTGAATCCTATTGTTCTAGGACCAATCAGACTGCTGCATTCTGGATCCTATTGTTCTAGGACCAATCAGACTGCTGCATTTTTGATCCTATTCAACTCAGTACATAACAATGGGGAACATCTGTGGCCCCACCCAGATGTTTTTGAACACCAGATCCCAACAGTTCCAACCGGGGAGGCTAAAGGACAGAGATTGTTTGAGTTGCAGTCCAATCCCTGCATTGGTTGACAGCTCTTACAGCAATGTTGTGTCATCATCAGCAACAACAATAATAACAAACTGTTGTGTTCCCTTTTTATTGATGGCTTAGCTGAGTTCACAGGACCACCCAGGAAGCCGCCCAGACTTGGACCTCAGGTGTGTAGTTGGCCCTCGCCTTTTGCCATCCTGTTCCTCTCTCTGTTTTGAGCCAATCTCTGTGCCGGTTCAGGTGATGCGTGGGCCAGGGATCACCCCAAAACTGTATCATTCCATTGATTTGGGGTGGGGTGGGGGCGGAATACAGGCCTCCGATTGGGGAGGTGTAGAGCTATCCTGAACAGCGGAACTCCTTGCAGAAGGAAGAATATGCTGCAACATTTTGTTGGAGGTCCTACTTGTATTATTTTAGGGTTCACCTGAGCTGGAAGGCAGGGAAGAAATATCCAGTGTCAGTCATATTCAGGGCTGACCCATTAAAAGCAATGTTACTTAAATCCACTGATTTCAGCGTGGGGTCTGCTCTTATAATAATAATATGTAAATGCATCAAATTTTCATTTAGGAAAAATGTGTGCTCCAGCTATCAGAAACTTGGGGGGCACTTCCCCACACTAAACCCCTGCCCCCCTTTGATCTATTTGCTTGTTTATTGCATTTCTATCCCAAGAATAATAATAATAATAAATTTTATTTATATCCCACCCTCCCCAGCCAAAGCCAGGCTCAGAGGGGCTAACAACAGTAAAATGCTAAACCATTCTAAAATCATTTCATTATAAAATTAATTCAAATCAGATTAATGGCAACCATTGGGCTAGAGTTCTATGAGGATTATCAAAGGAGGGGGTCAGACTGTGTCCTGTCCAAAGGCCTGGTGGAACAGCTCTGTCTTGCAGGCCCTGCGAAAAGATGTCAAGTCCCGCAGGGCCCTAGTCTCTTGGGACAGAGCGTTCCACCAGATTGGGGCCACGGCTGAAAAGGCCCTGGCTCTGGTTGAGGCCAGCCTGACCTCCCTGTGGCCCAGGACCTTCAAGATGTTTTTGTTTGAAGACCGTAAGGTCCTCTGTGGGACGTACCAGGAGAGGCGGTCCCGTAGGTACGAGGGCCCTAGGCTGTATAGGGCTTTGAAGGTTAAAACCAGCACCTTAAACCCGACCCTGTACTCCACGGGGAGCCGGTGCAGCTGGTATAGCACCGGGTGAATGTGATCTCGCAGCGAGGACCCGTAAGGAGTCTCGCCGCGGCATTCTGCACCCGCTGGAGTTTCCTCCAAGGAGCTCAAGGTGTCATATACTGTTCTTCCCCCCCACACACACTTCATTTAAACGCCACACACACACACACACACACACACACAAACAAACAAAACAGCCCTGTTAGGCCAAGAGACTGTGACTAGCCCAAGGCCAGTGAGTTTTGTGGCTGAGCAAGGCTTTGAACCCTGGTCTCCCAGGTCCAACACTAACCACTGCGCCACACTGCCTTTCCAGTTCTCGCTTCAGCCAACCCCCACGGCCAACCTGGACCGGACGGATGACGCTGTGTACGGTGACGTCATGGACCTGGTGAAGGCTGTTCTGAAGCTGAAGAACGAGGTCAGCAACCACCCGCCAGAACGGTACATCCTGGTTGTGAAGGTAACTCCGGCGTGTATTTATTTCTGTTTTTATTCCTTTGCACCGCCTTGATGCAAACAGGTTGGGCAGAGGCAGGGTGGAAGAAGAGCCGATGGGAGTCTCTGATCATGCTTTGATTTTGCCTCTTTGCAGGATGTGGGCCTCTCCCTTCGGAAGCTCATCGGGAGCGTGGATGAAGTCCTCCCGGCTCTGCCTGCCTCTTCACGTACTGAGGTGGGTCCTCTTTCGGGCAAGCGGGCGACCGAAGGAGGTATCAGAAGGAGAGTGGCTCTCTGTTCTCTTCCATTGCCTTGTGCTCCACTGTGTCAGGTGTTTCCCAGTTGTCGGTGTTTTTACTACATTTTTAAAGATTTGCCTCGAGAGAGGGTCTTTAAACCTCTTTTGTTTTTGTTTTTTTAAAATGATATTTATTGAAAAAAGGATTTTCTACAAAATTTTATACAAAAGAAGAAAAAAAGAAAAGAAAAAAAAAACACCATCATTCTCAAATTCTCCACTTTCAATACCTTCTTTCCTTGACCTCCTCCTCCTCCCTTTTCCTGTATCCTATTTTATAATAATCACAGCAAATCCTTTCCATAATTCATAATATTCTGTCATCACATTACCTTAATCTATTTTCATCCTATCTTATTAAAAAAACCTCTTTTGTTGACCACCAGCATTATGCTTTCCATTCTTAAGTTCGGAATAGAGTAGTTGCTTTGGAAGACGATCATCAGGCATCCGCACAACACGACCAGTTGAAGAATCATTGCTTTGACACTGGTTATCTTTGCTTCTACCAGTACAGTGGTACCTCAGGTTAAGAACTTACTGTATTTTTTGCCCTATAAGACTCACTTTTCCCCTCCTAAAAAGTAAGGGGAAATGTGTGTGCGTCTTATGGAGCGAATGCAGGCTGTGCAGCTATCCCAGAAGCCAGAACAGCAAGAAGGATTGCTTGCTGTTCTGGCTTCTGGGATTCAGAATATTTTTTTCTTGTTTTCCTCCTCCAAAAACTAGGTGCGTCTTGTGGTCTGGTGCATCTTATAGAGCGAAAAATATGCTAATTCATTCCAGAGGTCCGTTCTTAACCTGAAACTGTTCTTAACCTGAAGCACCACTTTAGCTAATTGGGCCTCCCGCTGCCACCGCGCCAGAGGAGCATGATTTCTGTTCTCATCCTGAAGCAAAGTTCTTAACCTGAGGTACTATTTCTGGGTTAGCGGAGTCTGTAACCTGAAGCCTCTTTAACCTGAAGCGTCTGTAACCTGAAGCCACTGTAACCTGAAGCCTCTGTAACCTGAGGTACCACTGTACACTGGCATTAGTTCACCTGTCTTCCCAAGTGATGTGTCCAAATTTTCGGAGACACCATTGATGGAATGTTTCGAGGAGTTGGAGATGGCGTTTATAAGTGGTGTGAACAGTGCTTTCACAAGTTGTTGGAATTAACCTGCTGCTTATCCGTGTCTTTGTCCTTCTGTCTGTCTGTCTGTTTGTGCTCTTCCCCGGCAGATTGAAGGCACCCAAAAGCTCCTCAACAAGGACCTTGCCGAACTGATCAACAAGATGCGCTTGGCCCAGCAGAACGCCATGACGTCCCTGAGCGATGAGTGCAAGCGCCAGATGCTGGCCGCCTCGCACACTCTGGCCGTGGACGCCAAGAACCTCCTGGACGCTGTGGACCAAGCCAGGATGCGAGCCAACCTAGTGAAGGTCTCCTTTGAGTGACCCAGAGGGCTGGCTTCCTTTTTAAAAGATGAATGAATACGTAGCCCCTCCAAGCTTCCCTGCGCTGTCTCCACCTCTGCCCTGCCGCAACACGCTCGTGTCTTTGGTTTCGTCGCGTCTGTCTTCCGAGAACGAAGGAGAAGAGACTCTAGGGGAGAGCCGTCTGCATGTGAGGCAGGGGAGGGACTTGCCTTCCTCTTCCCCATAGATCATGCTGCTAAGGGGGATGCAGGACCCCGGTCCTAGGGGGCGCAGTTCAGACCTGTCAAGGGGTCCTGAGCCTGCACCAGTAGGGTCCCATGCCTGTAGGTGTGCAGGCATCGCTGTGTACAGTCTGATTTCTTTGCCCGTATCTCTGGCGCCAAGGTGTCTCATTGGTGAAGTGGGTCAAAGGCGGGGAGCAGTGGGGCGACCCACGAACCTCACTGCCGCCCTTCTCCGGATAAGCCAGAGGAATGGTGGCAAGCCAGGCCACTTCCAGGTTTCTCCCGAGGGTCCTGAAGACCCAGTCCTGGGAGAAAAAGCTTGCTAGGTCACTTTGGTGAGGGACATTCCCAAGGTGGCCCTAAGAGGAGGCTGTCTTGTGTCTTTGTACATTGTATAGAAACATTTATTTAATGGCCATGTACAAACTGTATGCGCAACATCCCACCCCAGGGGGGGAAATACCCTCACTTCTCTCTCATGGGCCAAATTCCTTTGAATTTGGGGTGGAGTTTGAACACGTCTCCCTCTGAACGATGGAGATCCAAAAGGGGCTCTTTTTAAAAATATTTGATTTGTCACGAAGGTATGTACCAACCAACACATAACAGTGTAAACCACAACAGAACCACACATGGCGTGATTGCTATGAAAAGCAAATTGCAGAAAAGCAGTCCCATCTCGTAAAGTTTTAAAGATGGTTCTGTGTAACCCAGCCTTGTTCTCCCTATTTATATAATCCAGAAATGAAGAGCAATCCTCATAAAAACTATTTGATTTAGTTTTGACCAGACGTTCAGATAAAGCCATATTCCATGCATTAGTCAACCATGCCTCCTGATAAGGAACTTTTAATGATTTCTATTACAAATCTGGCTGCTGATCGTAACATAAGCGCTAGATTTTTATAAGTGATCGGAGTTGAATTTGGGATGGAGCTTCAATGTCTCTCCAAATGGAGGAGACTTTAAAAGTTTCCTGTTCCAGTAAAACAAAACAGGGAACTTTGAGGGATCTCAAGTATTCTGGCCCCAGTCCTCTCTGCGCTTACCTGGGAGTAAGTGCCATTGAAGTCACTGGGGCTTCTTAGTAGGTTGCACTGTAACAGGCTGATACGGACACCAGCTTTCGTGTCTGGAAGTCGCCTATGCCATAATAAATCTCTTAGTCTTAAACGTTCAGCAAAACTCTCTTGGGGGCATTTTATACTGAAAGCTCCAATTCCAATTCCAAGCAACAATGCAGATTATTGACAGGGGAGACAGGTGCAGACTCAAAACCACCTATAAACACAGATTACGGATTTGATGCTGTGAAGACTGAATCTCTGCCACTGAGTCAGAGCTTAAATGAGAGGTTTTGGTCCTTCTGTGGCAGGGTTTGAAATTAAACACACCCTGACAATGTTGGGGCTCACGTTTTGCTTCTGGGATGGAAGTTTTGCTGGAAACACGCAGGTCTGGGAGGACGAAAAGCCATTAACGTATTTTTTGAAACTCCCATAATATTGAATCCCTTCCTGGAATTTTGATTCTTGTTTTACTTTTGTACCTAAGAAAAAGGCCAGGCCAGCACAGCCAGCCTCAGCTTCTTTGTAATATTATATTTGTGTGTTAAAACGGCAACAGCAGCAGGAATCTCTCTGTTTGATATGTGGTTTTTTTTGACCTGAAAATTGTACCGTTTTATGGCTTTTGTCATTCATCATAACAAAGCCATTGTTTTGCCTGAGATAAATGAGGTACAACATACTCTTGTTGATCTGTTTCTTCATCAGAGCTTTCTGCCCTTGAGGAGCTTGGCAAGGTAATGATCCGATGATCGGGGGCCACAGTTCAGAAGCAGAAGAGAGTTTATTATGTCCTGGAGTCTCCAAATTCAATTCCTGACGTTCCCAGCTTGTTTGTTTGTTTGCTTACTTATTTATTTTATTGCATTCTTACCCGTGAAGGTGTAAGGGACACAGGTGGTGCTGTGGGTTAAACCACAGAGCCTAGGACTTGCCGATCAGAAGGTCGGCGCTTCGAATCCCCGCGACGGGGTGAGCTCCCATTGCTCGGTCCCAGCTCCTGCCAACCTAGCAGTTCGAAATCACGTCAAAGTGCAAGTAGATAAATAGGTACCACTCTGGCGGGAAGGTAAACGGCATTTCCGTGCGCTGCTCTGGTTTGCCAGAAGTGGCTTAGTCATGCTGGCCACATGACCCAGAAGCTGTACGCTGGCTCCCTCGGCCAATAAAGCGAGGTGAGCGCGCAACCCCAGAGTCGGTCACGACTGGACCTAGTGGTCAGGGGTCCCTTTACCTACCCGTGAAGGCACACTCTTCCATTGTCTTCCAAGATAGACAGATGCCAATCAACCAAATATCCCACTTTTCGTCCAAGGAGTTCAAAGCTCTCCTCCTCCCCATGTTATCCTCACAAGAGCCCTATGGGGTACATTAGGCTGACAGCGAGTGACTGGCCCAAGGTCACTCCAGGTAGTGGGGATTTGAACCCGTGTCTCACAGGTCCTCGCCTGGCATAATAATAATAATAATAATAATAATAATAATAATTTTATTTATACCCCGCCCTCTCCAGTCAAGACCGGGTTCAGGGCAGCTAACACCAGGTATAAAATCAATTGATTAAAATACAACTTAAAAACAAGATTAAAATACAACATTAAAATGCAGCCTCATTTCAGTGGAAACTCAAATCAAAAACTTTTGGGGGGATGAAAACGTCAAGTCTTCACCAAGGCCAACTATCCATACTGGTCCTACGTGGGCCAGAAAAAAGCCAGGGAAGTCCCCAAATAGGAGTTCCATCACAGAAGGAAAAAGAGGGGAAGGGGATCAAGTTGATTACAAGCCAAAGACCAGGTGGAACAACTCTGTCTTACAGGCCCTGCGGAAAGAAACCAGATCTAACCACTATACCACCCTGGATCTCAGCAGAGGCATATTTAGGCTCCGTTGCGCCTTTGACAAGGAGGTGTTTGTGCGTCTCCAAAGTCCATGGACCAGAAACTCATATAGTTTGCTTTCCATCGCTCTGCCAGCGTCTTCATGGCCATCATGGCTGGGCTCCTCCATCGATCTGTCTGCCTGGCTTCCTACCTTCCTTCCTCCACTCACTGCTTTCCCCTTTGCCTCCTCCTTCCCTCCCTTTTTCCTCCTCCTGTAGCTCTTGCCCACTCCCTCCATCTTCTTTCCCTCCAAGCCTCGCGGGGCACTCCACTCACACGCTTAATAGTACCACCCGCTGATCAAGGAGGGGACCCCACAGGCCATCTAATAATAATAATAAATTTTATTTATACCCCGCCCTCCCTGGCCAGAGCCGGGCTAAGGGCGGCTAATGGCAGTAAATTACAGTAAAAACATAATGGGGGGGGACCACCAGTTTAAAATACAGGTTAAAATGCAATTTAAAATGCAGCCTCATTTTAATATTAGCCCATAGATCAAAACCATAAGGGGAGGGAAACAGAAGGGTCAGACTGAGTCCAAACCAAAGGCCAGGCGGAACAGCTCTGTCTTGCAGGCCCTGCGGAAAGATGTCAAGTCCCGCAGGGCCCTAGTCTCTTGTGTCAGAGCGTTCCACCAAGTCGGGGCCAGTACTAAAAAGGCCCTGGCCCTAGTAGAGACCAATCTAACCACCTTGCGACTTGGGACCTCCAAAGTGTTGTTACAGTGGTACCTCTGGTTACGTACTTAATTCGTTCCAGAGGTCCGTCCTTAACCTGAAATTGTTCTTAACCCGAAGCACCACTTTAGCGAATGGGGCTTCCCACTGCCGCTGCGCCACTGGAGCATGATTTCTGTTCTCATCCTGAAGCAAAGTTCTTAACCCGAGGTACTATTTCTGGGTTAGTGGAGTCTGTAACCTGAAGCGTATGTAACCTGAAGCGTATGTAACCCGAGGTACCACCTTAAGGTCCTCCATGGGGCATATCAGGAGAGGCGGTCCCGTAGGTACGTGGGTCCTAGGCCACATAGGGCTTTGAAGGTCAAAACTAGCACCTGAGGTTCTTGGCCTCCACCGAGACACCCAGACGAACCTGTGCTCCTCGCCTGACCGCAGAGGGTGTCCCAGGGAGCTCATGGGTGGGCAGGTAGATTCCTAGCCACTCTGCACCAGGATTGAAGAGGCGTGATTTTCAAAGACGCCTGGGCCCTTTGCAGGGGTCTAAACAACCCCTAAGTGCTTTAGTCTTTAGAAGATGTCTGGAGCAGCTGGTGGTTGCTACTTCATGTGCCATGGGTTGGTTGGACACAAAGGAATGGTGGGAGGAGCCAGCTGGTGAACCCCACCAGGGAAGGAGGCTTAGAGCCTTGGGGATTCGTGGTGGGTCAACAATGAGCGGCCAGAGGGAGAAGACTGGAAGAGGAGGTGTCGGAAGCTGGAGAGGCAACAGGGCTTAGTGAGCTGGGAGAGTCTGTGGCAGAGAGAAGTCCAGAATTGGAGGCACAAGATGAAGCAGAAGAAGCAGAAGAGGGAGGCCGAGAAGCAGAGATGAGTCAGGCTGGTGACATAGCCATCAACTGTCCCTTATTTGGTGGGAAACTCCCTTATCCCAGCGCCGTGTCCCGCTGCTGTCCCTTATTGATAATGTCCCTTAAATTTCCCGGGTTTCAAAGGAAGCAGCTCCTCTCCCTCCCTCCCTGCTGGCCAGGGAGGAGGGAGGCTCCAACTGTGTTGCTGGGCTGCGTTGCTCACCCAATAAGGAGTCTGAGAACGACTGGGGGGGCGGAGCTTGCATGTCTTGTGCCGATCAAATCGGCCGTGTTGCCTGGGGACTCGCCTTTGCTCAGCGCTTCCCAGCAGAGAAGTGACGGTGGTTTTCCTTGCTGCAACCCCTTTGCCGGGTTGCTGCGCTGTGGGAACCACCGCTTGAGGCTTTGTTTGGCTGATGGCTGGGCTTTCTGCCTTTGGCTCGGAGGGGCTCAGAAGTTGAACATATCTGTGCTCTGAAAATCCCTTATTTTGGCTGCTGATCCCTTATTTTTGAGGCTGCTGGTCGCTTATTTTCAAATCTGTAAGTTGACAACTATGGCTAGTGAAGAGTCACGGGGTTCTCCCTCCTGCTGCTGCGACAAGCTCCCCTTCCTGCTTGTCTCCCAGAACCAGAAGAGGTATGAAGAGGGTGGAGGAAAGGTTGGCTACGCACAGGAATAGTCTCCAATTGCTTGGGGAAACCCCAGGGGCTTAGATGGCTGTGCGGTGGTGAAAAGAAAAAAGTAAAAAGTTAATTCTAACTTGCACGGTGTGATTTACTGCCAGCTCACACCTAACAGCATCTATGTTGAGGGGCTGATGAGAGTCGTCACCCAATGGGTCTGGAGGGCACCAGGATGGGGAAGCATCCTTTGGAAATGACCACAGATAGGAGGTAATGTGTTATGTAGAAAGAATGAAAACCCAGCCCCTATGATTTTACACACACACACACAAGAAAACTCCAAAAGTCCGTTTTAAAAAATTTATTCTGTCTCCAGATCATGCTGCGGTGAACAGGTCCACGGTTTGCAAGTTGATTCTGCAGTCAGCAACCTGGCTCACACTCATCCCAGACAGGAGCAAGCTCAGCTGTGGACTCTCCCCACCACACGTCACCCCAAAGTCCACATTCCTTAGACAAGGGGACTGTCCTGGCAAGCTGTCAAGGCCTGGGGCAGAACGGAGCCTGCCTGCAAGACCACAAGGGGCAAAGTCAAAAAGGAATCTTCACTTCCCAGAAAGAGTGGTTTCCCTCCCCCTTTGCACCCTGAGATAGAACCATAGAATTGTAGAGTTTGAAGAGGTTCCAGGGGTCATCTAGTCTGACCCCCTCAGTGCAGGAATTCGGCAAGTAGCTAAATCACAAAAGGCAAGGGGAGGCTTTTAGCTCTTTAGTCCAGAGGGGCGTTTGAGCTTTATCCTTCCTTGAAAGCTGACAAGGGAGTTTCTGCTAGGACTTTTCCTGTCCTGCCCCTCTGAGCTTCAGCTATCGGCCGAGTGCTTTGTTGCAAACTGTGACGTGTGAGCTGCACATCGAACGTCGGCAAATGTGGCTCCAGTCCAAAAACTGGCACCAAGGTAGGCATAACCGAATTGTCTGGGACTTTTCACAGCACCAGTAGTCAATACGAAGGGGGCTCTCAGGCTGCCAGTAGTTTGCAGGTGGGAGTTGATTGCGAACCAGCAAATTCAGGGAGGGCACAATTAAAGGGGATTTGGGACTCCTGTGCTGCAAACCTGCTTCAAAAAAGGAACAGACTTTTTGCAGTAAGGAAAGTGGCGTGGAAATTCACCGGAACGGGCAAGATGGCCATTGCTTGATGCAAAGTTGTATCCTCTTCCTGCAAACTCTGTGCAAACAGATCAGTCAGAATGCTTGATAAATAGGTCATCTGGAAGCGACCCACATTTACAATGGACCGATGCCATTAATTTCTATATAAATGCCATTTCTGAATGTTCCGTCACACCCTAGTGTGACCGAGGAACAGAACCCAGAGCAGGTCTATGCAGATGAAGGGGGCGGGGCTAAGCTGATAGAAACGAGGTCGATTACTATTGGTTGCAGCCGCCAGGCGGTGGGGAGAGGGTTTTCGCCACTATCCTAACAGCATCCCTGATTTCACGCCTTTGCTATCTTCCCATGCAAAACTCTGCGGTTCTCGCTGTTTGCAAAGCCTCGTTTCACACGCAGCCTGTCATAACAACAGGCATTTTGCTAAATTGGGCTAACTAAACGCAGCCGTCAGCCCCAAGAATGCTCTCAGCAAAGCCAAAGACAATCTGCACATTGTTCCCACCACAGGAAGTTTTTCGGGGTTACCTCTGGCCTCGCTGAATTATAATGGCAGACGAGGTCAATCTGGAAAAAAGTTCAAGTCCCCAGTCCCTACTGATTTGTAAAAACTGGTTCAGCTAAGAAAGAATGCAATGCTAAGTAGGATTCCCAGATAGACAGGTGCTTCTGAGTTGAATTTGTCCTGAATCTGGATGGCGACGCTTTTGCTGGAGCCGCACGGCAGGCGGGGGAGAGTTTGTGGGGGGATTTTGGGCGCACCAACCCTACTAGATCATCCCCGCCAGGAAAGGTGGGAGGAAGAGGCCAATCGTCCCCAGCAAGCAGACAATGACAAACATCCAGAGGAACATGCGGTCAATCACCATGGCAACGTACTTCCAGTCTTCCTTCACCTGCAAGCATAGGAGAAACCATGAAGTCACACCTCCTTGACCAGCAGGTCTCTACAATGCCTGGACATCCCTTTGGGTCCTGAAACAGCACATCTAGCAGATTGTGCAAGAGTTTTCCTACAGGGGTCTCTTTACCTGTATACCTGAAGAAGCGTCTCCACCCCCATCGTTCTGCCCGGATGCTGAGGTCCAGCGCCGAGGGCCTTCTGGCGGTTCCCTCATTGTGAGAAGCAAAGTTACAGGGAACCAGAGGGCCTTTTCAGTTGTGGCACCCTCCCTGGGCCAGGCATCCTAGGCCATAAAATATAGTGGGCAAGTTTCTTTGATGTAGCCTTTCTGATATGTTAATCTTAGGGCCAGGAAACAGACTTTCACTTGAAGGTGATAAAGATCCCTATCCTCCTTTCCATATATTGCTTGTTTATGACCTCCGGGGTTGCTAGATGCACTCCTTTGTAGTTTTGTTTTATTTACCCCAGAAGTATGCATGCTTAATTAGCTTTTGTAGTGTAATTTTGTCCCCACGTGGGGTTTGTTGAAATGCTCAGAGGAAATCTGATTGGTTCTTACGAACACGGTAAAAAAATTCTTTTGTGAATAAAACGACCTGGGCCGGAGGGTGGACAGGAATTCTTATTATACGCACCCTTCCCAGAGTCTTGCTGGTTCAAGCCTCTGTGTGTATTCTTATTAATCAGAGTTCAATCCTTCCTTTACTTTGGGAACGCCTCAGGGTGGACGCTACTACCGCGAAACCCTGTTCCTGATGTCTAGAGGGAACTGTTTGCTTGTGTTAAGAACCCAACAGTGGGCCTGGGGTGGGGGACGCTGGGTACTAACCCCACAAGGTAGCTTTTCGGTTCCCAGAGTCAACAACTCACCGAGAAATCAGCATCCTCGGCCCGCAGGTGGTTGGCGATGTAGTGCACCCCTTCCAGGGCTTTCAAGACGCTTGGAGACAGCTGCAGCCCCTGCTCGGAGGATGTTGGGGTCTCCGCTTTGGTGGCCGGGCGCCGAACCAGTTCCACGAAGCCCCTCCCCAGGTGCCGGGCGCAGGTGTAACGGTACTGGAGGCAGTGGTGGGGGCAGGTGCCTTGGAGGGGCAGGCGACCGGCCCTCCGCCTCTCCTCACTGCCGCCACCGCCGCCGTCGTCTTCGTTCCACTTCTCGTCCACGTCCGTCTCCAGCCAGCACCGGGAGGTGCTCAGATTGGCCGGAGGCGCGTCGTACTGCCCGATCACCTCTTCGCTGGACACCCTGAGCCCCGCCGTCAGCACCGGGGGCCTCTTCATGAAGAGCCACCTGGGGATGAAGTCCAGGAAGACGGCGCGGACCCATTGGGGCATCTTGTGGGTGCTGGGCGAGCGGTGGTGGACGTTGAGGACGAAGACCGTGATGACGATGGAGAGCGTCACGAAGATCATGGTGAAGAGGAGGTACTCTCCGATCAGTGGGATGACCAGGGAGGTGGACGGGATGATCTCGGTGATCAGGAGGAGGAAGACAGTGAGGGACAGGAGGACGGAGATGCAGAGGGTGATCTTCTCCCCGCAGTCAGAGGGCAGGTAGAAGACCAGGACGGTCAAACAAGAGATGAGGAGGCAGGGGATGATGAGGTTGATGGTGTAGAAGAGGGGCAGGCGCCGGATGACGAAGCTGTACGTGATGTCAGGGTAGATCTCAGTGCAGCAGTCGTACTTCTTAGTGTTGTAGGTGCCCACAGCGTGGATGATGGCCCACTCGCCGCTCTCCCAGTAGTCCTTGAGGTCCACCTGCCGCTCCATGCTCTCCAGGTCAATCTTGGCTTTGTCGTACGTCCACGAGCCGAACTTCATCTTGCAGTTCTGCTGGTCAAAGGGGAAGAAGGTGACGTCGATGCTGCACGAGCTCTTGTAGATGGCCGGAGGGGTCCACTTCACGCTGCCGTTGGAGAAGAGGTGAGCCTTCGTCATGTGCGTCACGGCAAACTCCCCGTCGGCACTGAAGGAGCAACGGGGAGGAGAGTGTGGGAATGTTGTGGATAGTAGGAGAAATACGTATTTATAAATTTTTATTGGAAATTTTATTTACAACATAACATAACCCCCCAATACAGAAATCCACCCTCGTTAAACATGAACATAACATACAATAAGCATAACATACAACAATACAAACAACCAAATAAAAGACTTCCTTTATCGTGTATCCGGCCTCCTTATTTACTTCTTATAAACTGTTTCCTTTATGAGTAATTATTAAGATTTTTCTAATTATAACTTAAATATCCACAAAGTCTCCTGCAGTCATTAATCAAAACAAGTCCAGGTATGTATTTTAGGGCACTGTTTTGTGAAGTATTCTCTGCATTTCCCCCGTGCTTTTTTAAACTCTTGTCTAGTGTGATCTCTAATTGCATCTGTTAATCTAGCCAATTCAATATCCTCTAACAGTTTGTCTTGCCATTCCTTTTCTGTTGGCACAGTTTCTTTTTTCCAGATTTTAGCAATTAGGATCCTTGCCGCTCAATAGTAGGAGAAATATATTGATTAAATATTATCCTTCCTCACTCACACTAGTGAGTAGCACAGTACATTCTCCAGTATATTGCAGGAAGCTAGTTGGTAGATTCTCTTGAATCTCTTCACTTAAGCAATCCAGTCCGGCTTGTCCAGATTGGGTTTGATCCTGGTAAATTCCCCTTTGATCCCTCTTAAAAAGAATAAAGACACAACAGTCTTCTTTTTAAAGTAATAAGAAGTTGACTCACATTCAGTTCACAGTAGGTTCCCTGAAGGCAGACTTTAGCTTGTAGTTACAGAAGAGAGTGTGAGTTTATCCCATGTAGGGAAATGAGCCCATGTGCTGCTGGCTGAGGACCAGCAGACAGCAAAATACATCAAAATGGAATAAATTGAAGGAGGCAGTAGATGGCTGCGTGACCAGCCCTTTTATAGGGTCTCCCAGGGTCACACCCATCTACCTGGTCACACAGAGGGGGGTGATGCTCCAGACCAGGTGTGACAGGAAGTCCTTCTGGCTGGAGCAGCATTCCCCTGCGTGTACACTCTAGGAAACAGGAAATGTTGTACTTGACTGCCTATGTTACATCCCACAGAGAGAGGGGTTATGGGGGCGGGAAATCTATTATTTCTAACGTATGATTGTGATTGGTTTTATAAACTTAACACAAAATCTAATTTATAAGCTTTTCTAAGCAATTCTACTTCTCCTTAAAATCATGACCCTCACAATCAATTCCCTGCTGACTTATATACAATACTTATTCCGCTCTACATTTCTTTCTTTATTTCATTCTTCCTATCTTTTCTTGGCTTATACTTCAGAGCGGTTGCCGAACAGCTTGGTAGGTTTCTGGATGAAACATCGGCTCTGGAGCCATTTCAGTCTGGCTTTTAATAATAATAATAATAATAATAATAATAATAATAATAATAATTTTTATTTATACCCCGCCCTCCCCAGCCAAGGCCGGGCTCAGAGCGGCTTACTAGCAATAATAAAAACAAGTTGAATGATTACAACTTAAAAACAAAATTAAAATACAACATTAAAATATTGAAACATTAAAATATTAAAATGTAGCCTCCTTGCAGGAGGAGAAGGAAAAGAAAAAAGAAAGAGAGGGAGGGAATCAAATTGGCTCCAAGCCAAAGGCCAGGCGGAACAACTCTGTCTTACAGGCCCTGCGGAAAGAAATCAGATCCTTCTGCCCTGGTTATGGGACCAAGACGGCTTTGGTCGCCCTAACAGATGATCTCCGCAGACAATTGGATCAAGACAGGTCTGGACTGCTGATTCTCTTAGATCTGTCAGCAGCCTTCGATACGGTCAATCACGAACTTTTAGACCACTGCCTTGCCGACGTGGGGATTCAGGGCACAGTCCGACAATGGCTGCGCTCCTTTATCTCAGGTCGGGGACAGAGGGTGGCGCTAGGGAGGGAGTTGTCGCCGTGGCACTCCTTGGTGTGTGGACTGCCACAGGGCGCAATCCTTTCCCCGATGCTTTTCATTATTTTTATGTGCCCCCTTGCCCAGATTGTCCGGAGCTTTGGGCTGGGTTGTCATCAATATGCTGATGACACTCAGCTCTATCTGTTGATGGATGGCCACACCGACTCGGCCCCAGACACACTGACCAGATGCTTGGAAGCTGTGGCTGGATGGCTGCGTGGGAGCCGGTTGAAATTAAATCCTTCGAAGACAGAGGTCCTCTGGCTGGGTCGGGACGACATGGGGTTGGGGGGCCAACTCCCATCTCTTGCGGGGGCTCAATTAGTGCCAGCGCCTTCTGTCAAGAGCTTGGGTGTAACCTTCGATGCCTCCCTTTCCATGGAGGTGCAGGTTGCCACCACAGCAAAGGTGGCTTATTATGTTATTATTAGCAACCAAACACCCAGCGATTAACCTCACTTGTTTCTTTGCTAAAGTGATAACTAGCCTAGTAGATACAGAGGATGCTGTTTATTTAGCTGGCCTTTGCTGGGACTTTTGATGTGGTTTTCCTTTGGGTCTTCCGCTGCGGTGGATGGAAAACAGATTGAGAAGTCCCCTTTGGCCTGAAATATTTTCGTAAGTACCACTGGATGGCAGCAGAACACCAGCCAATGGAACAAAGCCATTATTGGGACACTGCTTGCGCAAGAAGTCATAATAGCAGGTACTTCTTCCATGTGCACAGACTGAGCATCTCCCCACAAGGCTGCCCTTCGACAGAGCATACTGCATTTCTCACACATTTTTTAAAAGTGGAGTTACCACACACACACACACACACACACACACCCTCTACTGCACTTATAGAAGTGAGTGAGTAAACTCTATTATAGAAGACTGTGTCGTGTCTATTTCTTTTAAGGAGGGACTAAAGGGGAATTAGGGACGCGGGTGGTGCTGTGGGTTCCTAGCTTGTTTGCTTACTTATTTATTTTATTGCATTCTTACCCGTGAAGGTGTAAGGGACACAGGTGGTGCTGTGGGTTAAACCACAGAGCCTAGGGCTTGCCGATCAGGTCAGCAGTTCGAATCCCCGTGACGGGGTGAGCTCCCGTTGCTCGGTCCCTGCTCCTGCCAACCTAGCAGTTCGAAAGCACGTCAGAGTGCAAGTAGATAAATAGGTACCGCTCCGGCGGGAAGGTAAACGGCGTTTCCGTGCACTGCTCTGGTTCGCCAGAAGCGGCTTAGTCATGCTGGCCACATGACCTGGAAGCTGTACGCCGGCTCCCTCAGCCACTAAAGCGAGATGAGCTCCGCAACCCCAGAGTCGGCCACGACTGGACCTAATGGTCAGGGGTCCCTTTACCTTTAAAGGGGAATTACCAAGGAAACTTACTTTAGAGGCTTATACAAGCCTGGCAAACACTATCCGCTGCGCAAGTTTTAAAGGGGGAATGTTACTCTGATAAACTATAGAACTTGTTAATACAAGTTGGAAAGGATATATGCCTCCCTGGACATTCCCACAGTGTTGGGTCCAGCTTTCAGGCTTCCCTTTATGGCATTTGTGTGGCCAATGCAAGAACAGGATGCTGGACTAGATCTCGCAAGGCTTTTCTTATGTGCTTGACTGGTGCTGAGCTACTCCTGCTGAGGCCTGTCTCAGATTAATCCCCGTGCGCGAATGCTTAAGAACATTGGCTCATCTAGTCCAGAATCCTGTTCTCACAGACCAGATGCCTATTATGGGGAAACCCGCAAGCTGGATTCGAACACGGGACCACTTTTCCCCTCCTGTGGTTTCCAGAAACTGGTCTCCAACAGCTATCCATAGCCCTCTCCTCCTCCACGAAATTGGCTCTTCCTCTTTTAAAGCCACCTGGGTTTGTGGCCATCACTAACTCCCTGTGGCAGTGAGTTCCATAGTTTAACGATGTGCTGAATGGACAAGGACTTCCCGCGGCATATTTTTAAGGGGCGTTGTTGAATCAATGAGCTGCTCCCCCTTTCCCTGTTGGCCCAAGCACCTACTTGTTATACAGCACAATGTCTGGGATCCAGATCATCTCAGAAGGCGCTCGGATGGAAGTGACGTTGTCAAAATCCACTGGGTTCCACTGCAGCTTGTAGTCATTCCATTCCTGGTGGCAAAGAATCAATCCTGGGCTCATTATTCACTTCCGAGATGTGCATATTCTTCACATTGAAGCACACATTGATCGACTTATTCACTTCTTTTGATACTTTTTTGTTTTTGTTTTTCAGATTAAAACTTTGCAGTCACATATCGAACGTACAACATAGAAACAAGATTCCAAAGAATCTCTTGGACTCCCCTCCTCCCCTTTGTGGGTCCTATTGTTAATAATTTCCTCCTGCACCTTTTAGGATAATAGGTTATAAAGTTCCCCCATTCCTTATTAAAATTTTGGTCTTCCTGATTTCTGATTCTTCCAGTCATTTTAGCCATTTCGGCATAAATCCATCACCTTAATCTGCCATTCTTCTATGTTAGGGACTTTATCTTCTTTCCGTTTATTAACATTCTTAGTTATTAAAAAATAAGTTACCCAAAACCAGGTCGGGGAACAGTGGGATGGCGGCGCTGCGCCTCCCGTTGTCCCCCGAGCTTGTGGGGCTGGCCGATGTCTGCCCGGCGTGAGGGGCGCTCTGCTTCAGGGCGCCCCACGCGCCGGGCGGCAGGCTGCAGACACCTGCACGAAGCACGGGGCGTCCTCCGGAGGGCCCCCGTGCTCCGCGTTGCAGGCTGCCGCCCGCAAGCCTTGCGTGCCCGGGAGATCCCCGGGTGCGCAAGGCTTGCGGACATCTGCGCGAGGCACGGGGCGTCCTCCGGAGGGCGCCCCGTGCTCCGCGCTGCCGGGGGCCGCCCGCCAGCCTTGCGCTCCCAGGGGGAGATCCCCCGGGTGCGCAAGGCTTGCCGACACCTGCGCTGAGCACGGGGCGTCCTCCGGAGGGCGCCCCGTGCTCCGCGCTGCAGACTGCCGCCCGCAGCCTTGCGCTCCCGGGGAGATCCCCGGGTGCGCAAGGCTTGCGGACACCTGCGCGAGCACGGATTAACACTGTTTTAGTGGACGAAGGTGCAAAGCCTATGTCTACTCAGAAGAACGTCCTGTTGAATTCAGTCTTACAGCCTTAATGCCAACCTTTATAAGAGGGGCACAGGAGAGGGGGGGATAACAGCTGCTCAGCTTAAGACCCCCCAGGCCAATAGTTTTCCATGGCTGGAAACTTCAAGGCGTGGGAGTCTAGGGGACCATCTCTACAAGGCTGAAGTTGAACTGTAGAGCTGGCAATAGAATTGTTGAACTGTAGAGCTGGCAGGGACAAAAAGGGACATTTAGTCCAGTCTCCTAGAATGCAGGGATCTCTTGCTCAATGTGGAACTCAAACCCACAACCCTGTGATTAAGGGTCTCATGCTTTACCTACAGGGCTTGCTTCCAGTTCCTTATCTGACACCAAGTTGCATTGTGAGAGCCTTGAATAAGACCTGGCAAAAAGTAAACCCTGTGTTGGGCTTAGTGTTAGAGTACAGTGTCCTAGTACGTCTCCGAGCACAATTCAAAGTGTTGGTGCTGACCTTTAAAGCCCTAACGGCCTCTGTCCTGTATACCTGAAGGAGCGTCTCCACCCCCATCGTTCAGCCCGGACACTAAGATCCAGCGCCGAGGGCCTTCTGGCGGTTCCCTCATTGCAAGAAGTGAGGTTGCAGGGAACCAGGCAGAGGGCCTTCTCGGTGGTGGCGCCCGCCCTGTGGAACGCCCTCCCACCAGATGTCAAGGAAATAAGCAGCTATCCTATCTTTAAAAGACATCTGAAAGCAGCCCTGTTTAGGGAAATTTTTAATATTTAATGCTGTATTGTTTTCAACACTTGATTGGGAGCTGCCCAGAGTGGCTGGGGAAACCGAGCCAGATGGGCAGGGTATAAATAATAAATTATTATTATTATTATTATTATTATTATTATTACAGTGGTACCTCTGGTTGCAAATGGGATCCGTTCCGGAGCCCCATTCGCAACATAAGCTGAACGCAACCCACGTCTGCTTGTGCACGGATCACGATGCGCCGCTTCTGCTCATGCGTGTGACATCATTTTGAACGCATGCGCGAGCGGTGAAACCCGGAAGTAACCCGTTCCGTTACTTCTGGGTTGCCGCGGGACGTATCCTGAAAGAACGTAACCTGAACCGAACGTAACAAGAGTTATGACTGCACTGTATTTTTCCGTGTATAAGACGACTCCTATTTTTTAAAACCCAAAATTCAGAAATTAAGTTGTTTAGCTTTTTTTGGGGGGGGGGAGGTCACTTCCGCCAATCACTCAACCACCTACCAGCCACTGCCGATCATTTGCCAAAGTCACTGCCGATCACACACCTTGCCGCAGCCACCAATTGTCTGCCTGCTTGCAGCCCACCCGCCCACTTGCTGCAGCCACCAATCACTCGCCCTATCGCCACTGCCAATCTCCTGCTTGCTGCTGCCATTAATCTCACATCCCCCCTCTGCGTTCACTATCCATGTATGAGACGAGACCCAATTTTTGCCTAATTTTTTAAAGCGAAAAACACCGTCTTATACACAGAGAAATGCAGTATATCTTTATTCCTGCATTGGAAAGGGTTGGAGAAGAGGACTCTTGGGTCCCTTCCGTCTCTACACCCCCAAAACTTTGCTAGAGTTTGCGTTGCGCTCCCTGCCTTTAACTCCCATCGCACTTTACCTGCTTGAGCCAAACGTTTGTGGTCATCATTTGATTCTTCTCATCCTAGATTTGCAGACAATGAGAGAGAGAGAGAGAGAGAGAGAGAGAGAGAGAGAGAGATTGTTTGAAAGAAACGCAAAGCTGCAAACAGAAGCTGTTGTCTCTATTTTGTGGATGGGATTACAGCGGTACCTTGGTTCTCAAACGCCTTGATTCTCAAACGCCTTGCTTCCCAAACACCGAAAACCCGGCAGTAAGTGTTCAGGTTTTCAAATGTTTTTCGGAAGCCGAACCTCCCAAGTGGCTGTCGGTTATTGTTTCCGAAGCACCTGCCCCAATCAGAAACTGTGCCTTGGTTTTTGAACATTTTGGCTTCCAGAACGGATTAAGTTTGGTGCTTTTGTTTTTGCTATTTATTTTGCGTTTTTGTTTTTGAGGCTTTTTCAGTTCATTTGTTTTTGTGACTGTGCGGAATCCAGTTCAGCTACTGATTGATTGATTGATTGATTGATTGATGGATTGATTGTGTGACTGTGAAAATGGATAAAAGCGCCTCACCCAAACAATGACTGTCATCAGTGCAGGTAAGGAAAAAGAATAATTTTAATTTTTATCATCTACAATCTTGTCTTATTTATCTTACAGTACACTACATTGATTATTGCTTTCATTTTATGGATCAATGGTCTCGTTAGATAGTAAAATTCATGTTAAATTGCTGTTTGAGGGGTTGTTTTTAAAAGTCTGGAACGGATTAATCCGTTTTGCATTACTTTCTAAAGGAAAGCACGCCTTGGTTTTGGAACGCTTTGGTTTTGGAACGGACTTCCAGAACGGATTAAGTTTGAGAACCAAGGTACCACTCTAAATCACAAACCAGCCAATTCAGGTTGCCCCGTTGAAGTGGATTTGGCGCCTGTGCATCAAAGCCTGTTCCCAAAAAGGCAAAAGGCAAAAACGCCTTTTCTGCAGCAAGGGAAATTATGGGGGAATGTGGGCCATGTTATGTAACCTTCCCACAAAGAAATCTAGATGAATGCTAATTAAAGAGGTCATCTGGGACCAGAGTCCTCTGCTCTCACTGCATCCAGGCCTGGAAAGAGGGAGATCTGATATTAGAATGATATGGGGACCCTATGCTCAGCCAAAGCTCAGTGGCAGAACAGCTGCTTTGGATGCAGAAGGAACCAGGTTCTGCCCTCAGGATCTGCAAGGAAGACTTGCAAAGATGAGTCAGAACAAGTGGAAGACCAGTGATAGATAGATAATTAGATAGATAATTTATTACGGTCAAAGACCAGCTTGAAGACCAGTGAATATATAGTCGATACTAGAATAGAGGGGCCAAGGGTCTGAGTTAGTAGACGGCAACTCCCTATGTTTGTGTTCACACATGTACTCCTCTTAAACCAGAGTGAGGAGCTCTACGGCCTGCTACTTGATATCTGAGAACAAGGTTATCTCTTCAAACTGGCCTTGCTTTCCATCTGAAGGGCAATCTCTCTCTCTGTCTACTTCCTGTCAACTGCAGCCAGGTGCAGTTTCTTCAATACATATCTATCCCAACACATAACGTTTTTATGCAGCAAAGTGCATAGTCATCTAGAAAAAAATAACAACACATACATCAGATTGGGCTGTATGCCACCACGAAGCCAGTTCAGAGTGAGGGTGGGAAAACCCTCACTCTGAATGGGTAAGTATTTTTCTCTCCCGCCCACACTCCATTTTCACATTGCCTTTTCCAATATAGGGGAAACATTTCTGTGCAGCTGCTTTTGTTTTTTTGCAAAGAGCAGTGAGGTGAGTGAACAGGACACATACCACGTCAATCAGCTGAGCAATGGACAGCCCAAACCTGACAATAACGACATCAGAGGTATTGGGGACTGGCCGGGACCACTTGTTGTATGCATTGAAAAGGTGTTTGAAGAGTCTCTCCTCCGCCTGGGTTTGCGTCCGGCCTTGGACTGAGGCTGAAATGGAAACCAAATGTTATGAGTTGGCAAGAACCAGCCTTGAATGCTGAGAATCACTGAAGGTCAGTTATCAAATGCCCCCAGATATTAACTGCATGTCAACAGTTAAGGACGGACATCAAAGCTCAACTATAACCTGATGCCCAGAATTAATGCCCTACCTTTCAAAGCATTTCACACACATTTCATCTCAAAAACCTTTACTGAGGCGTTCCCAAAGTAAAGGAAGGATTAAAGAACTCTGATTAATAAGAATACACACAGAGGCTTGAACCAGCAAGACTCTGGGAAGGGTGCGTATAATAATGTCTGATCTCTCCACCCCTCGGCCCAGGTTGTTTTATTCACAAAAGAACTTTTTACAGAGTGTTCGTAAGAACCAATCAGATTTCTTCTGAGCATTTCAACAAACCCCACGTGGGGACAAAGTTAAACTACAAACATTAGTTAAGCATGCATATTTTGGGGTAAATGAATGAAAACTACAAAGGAGTGCATTCAGCAACCCCGGAGGTCATAAACAATCAATACACATGATAAGAAGGATGGCCAAGAGGACAGCGATCATTATCACCGTTATGTGAGACCTGTTTCCTGGCCCTAAGATTAACATCCTAAGATTAACATATCAGAAAAGCTACATCAAAGAAACTGCCCACTGTCTTTGATGACCCAGGACGTCTGCCTGTCTTAAGTGTGTACATGACTTGTCAAGCAAGAGAAATGGGCAGTAGAGGAAATGGCCAGAGATGCAGAGGGTTGTGGGATTTGATCAGAAATTATTGCCAATGTATCAAACCCAGTCAACACAATGCATTCATCGTGGACACGATGGCTTGATGCATATTTTATAATTCCTCATAGTAATCCCACCTGACCCCACACTCTGGATATTTGCACTCCTACACTTTACAGAAACCATGTAAATGTAAGCTGGCATTATTATCCCCATATTGCAGATGTGAAGACTGAGGCTAAGAGAAAGGGTCAGGGAGAGGGAACATGCCTTGCCTAAGTTCAGTTAGTGAGCTTATTTCTGTGGCAAGAGTCAAACTGGGGTCTCTCCAGGCTCCTGCAGGGCAGTCTTGACTACTGCACATCCCACCAGCTCTCCAGTACGGAACACCTGGCAGATATCCAGGGAATGCCCAAAGCACGGGAAAGTTGTGAGAATTTATGGCGATGCAGGAACCTGGGAAGTCAACTGGCAGGCACTGGGAGAATCCTGCTGCATGAAGCCTAGAGATGGCCAAATTGCCTGGCAATGCGAGATGAAATAAGACATGCTCGCAGGAGCATCAGACTAATGCGCCTAGAGCAGAGGCAGCCAGAGGCCACCTCCACAATAGAAACCCCCTGGGGAACAGAAGTCCCCGGCCAAAGTACAACTAGCCTCTTTAGCTAATGAGGTTTACCGGCTTCCCACTCTTCAAGGCCATAAGCTTAATGGGCCTTTGCTTATTCCTGCTTTTCACTGCAGGAGAAACTTCTTCTGGGCTGCAGAATGTTAGAATTCCTGCTCCGTGATTGCAGTCATGAGATTGTTGTCTATCACATGACGGTATATGTTTTGACTCCACAGAGTGGGAAGTGACGGAGACAGGATGTTTGTCTTACTGTGTTCTGTGAAGTGGGACTATTGTCCTTTGTTCTTTTCCTCTTTGCTGTCTGATGCTAGAGAGAGAGGGAGCCATGTTGCAGTGCTCCGGGTGTGTTTCTATGTAAATAAAGTAGATTAGCCAAAATGCTGAGTTGCTGAGGTCCATTACGCAACCCGCGAAGACTGTGCAGATCCCTAAGTGTGCCGGTGTCTGTTGGCATCTGTCGCTGTGATGTTCGGGCTGAAGAAAGCTTTTGAAGCTCCCGAATGAAAGACCAGGAGGGAGGGAACATGCCAGTCAGGCATGTGTCTCTGCCAGGGTCCTACTCGAGTGTAGGCCGAGCTCCTGACACAGAATGCCAGTGTCATGGACTGGCAGAGGAATGGTGGGAGGAACCAGATGGGGAACAAAAGGGGGAAAGGCTCAGAGCTTGGGGCAACGATCAGCGGTCAGAGGGAGAAGACTGAGAAGAGATGTTGGAAGCTGAAGGGGTAAGAGGGCTTGGTGAGCTGGGAGCGTCTGTGCCAGAGAGAAATCAAGAACCAGAAGCTGAAGCAGGACAGTGGGAGGAGGGAAGCCAAAAGGCAGAGATGAATCAGGCTAGTGTATAGGCATGGGGGTCTCCTCTTCCTGCTACGACAAGCTCCCCTCCCTCCTGTCTCGCAGAACCAGAAGAGGGATGAAAAGACCAGAGCATAGGCAGCCTACACGCAGGCACAGTCTCCGATTTCTTGCAAGAAGCCCTGGAGAGGAGACAACTTTGACAGCGGTGGGGAGGCTGGGACTTTTAGTCTCAGCAACTGATTTCATGGAGTAAGATCTACAGGGCCTGAGCTGCTGAGCTCATTAGGCCTGGAACTCTGTCTAGTCTGTGAAGCTCATGTTTCCCTAATAGTTAACTATAGCTTTGAACTGTGTGACTTACTGACACTGGCTTGCCATGTGACAGCCAAGGTCCTCATAAGATTAATGGGACCCTCTCTCCCTTTTCAGCCAAGGAGTTAGGAGTCTGTTCAAAGTGTTGGTGCTGACCTTTAAAGCCCTAAATGGCCTCAGCCCAGTATATCAGAAGGAGCGTCTCCACCCCCATCGTTCAGCCCGGACACTGAGGTCCAGTGCTGAGGGCCTTCTGGCGGTTCCCTCACTGCGAGAAGCAAAGTTACAGAGAATCAGGCAGAGGGCCTTCTCGGTGGTGGCACCCGCCCTGTGGAACGCCCTCCCATCAGATGTCAAGGCAATAAGCAACTATCTTACTTTTAAACGACATCTGAAGGCAGCCCTGTTTAGGGAAGTTTTTAATGTTTAATGCTGTATTATGTTTTAATTATTCGGTTGGGTGCTGCCCAGAGTGGCTGGGGAAACCCAGCCAGATGGGTGAGGTATAAATAAGAAATTATTATCATTATTATTATTATTATTATTATTATTATTATTCACTAGGTGGCGCACCCAGCACTGGACCAGATCCTCATGTCTGGGTCAGGCCAAGTCCTTCTTAACTGTGAGAACAAGATGCTAGTCTAGGTGGGCCATTGACCTAATTTAGCAGGCTCTTCTTATGACAGAGGTGATGGCTCAGATTTGTGTGATTTTATTTGCTGATTCCCACCTCATTGTTACCTGTCCCTCCCCTAACCTTCACGCCTCTCTGTGATTTTTCACCCCCTTCCTTGATTGTCCCTCCCTCTCCTCCTTCTTTTTGCCTCCTTGCCTGCTCACTCCCATTGTCCTCGCTTGGACTGTATTCTCCTTGGGGCAGGGACCTGTCTGCCCCTTGCTTGTCATGCGGCTGACGCCCTCCGTGCACTTGTCAGGTGCGATACGCATAAATCATCCTCCTCTCTGTTGATTTGGACTGTTTTACAAATCTGAAATCCTTCCATTCAAACTCTCCCTCACTTCTTCAAGATGGGGCAGAAACTGGCTTTGACTAAGAAAATGGGCAAAATACTGCAGAAGAAACAATTCATCCCACACACAAATGGGGTCAAGGGGTGGACTATTTCGCAAAATAAACAGGCAGCTCCCATCCATTCAGCCCCTCGCAGCCATGCTAGACTACACTGACGGATTGATGCCCTTAAGGACTCAAATGAGCCATTGTGAGGCCATCTCCATTTCTTTTCATTAGCGTCGCTTGACGAGCAAATTTGGCATGTAAACAGACGTGGCACTTCATCTCCGTGAGCGGATCTGTCTTCGGGAGCAGGGAGTGGGGTGTCAGGAGAGAAAGATGGTTCAACCTTGGCTGCCAGAAATGTCCCAAGAGTGGTGGTCTTGCCAGCCACAGTTCTCAGATCCAGTGCCAGATTTACGTATAAGCTAAACAAGCTATATATTAGGGGCCCACTCTCTTGGGGGCCCCCAAAAAATTTGAAGGGGAAAAACTGGATGCACATTTCCAAAATATAAGATAAAAAAACAAATAAAATAAAACCTACATACAGCAACAGTGTTTTGTGTTGTATAGGCTCCTATGATGTAAGTCATGGGCTCCCTAAAATATCACTGGTTTGCTCATTTCTGTATATAGGATGCCTACATTCTGTTATGTGCAAATGGCTTTAAATACCTATTAGGTCCATAAATTACCATATAGCATATAAGGTAAAGGTACCCCTGACCATTAGGTCCAGTCACGGATGACTCTGGGGTTGCGTGTTCATCTCGCTCTATAGGCCGAGGGAGATGGTGTTTGTCCACAGACAGCTTCCAGGTCATGTGTCCAGCATGGCTAAGCCACTTCTGGCGAACCAGAGCAGCACACAGAAATGCCATTTACCTTCCTGCCGGAGCGGTACCTATTTATCTACTTGCACTTGACATGCTTTCGAACTGCTAGGTGGGCAGGAGCAGGGACTGAACAACGGGAGCTCACTCGGTTGCGGGATTCGAACCGCTGACCTTCTGATCGTCAAGCCCTAGGCTCTGTGGTTAGGCCACAGCACCCCCCACGTCCCACATATAGCATATATTCAACACAAAAAAACAGCAACAATTTGTTGCTGACGAAGGACAGCTGGACATATAAAGGGCCCCATTACCTTCAGTAGCTTAGGACCTCATCAAACCTAAATCCGACTCTGCTCAGATCTCATGAGAGTAACATAAGAGCCTGCTCACTCTTGTTTTGTTTTGTTTTGTTTTGTTTTATTATTGCTCTTATCTTTTTTCCTCTTATCACACACACACACACACACACACACACGCAAGGCCCAGCAACTCCAACCTCCTGTCCTCACAGTGCCCAACCAGATGTTCAAATGGGAAGCCCAAGAGCAGGAGCTGAGCCCAAGAGCAACACTCTCCCTTCCTGCTGTTTCCAGCAACTGGTATTCAGAAGCATTGCTTGCCCCTGAATGCTTCCCTTGACCTAAAGAAAACTCAAACTCTCAACATAAACTACAAAAACAATGATGCAGGTAGAATGCCAGTGGGGCTGCAAGGGCTTTCGAGTGTTTCCCACTGCCTATCACACATATGGCTTGTTTTGTATAATTGTTTAATTCACACTGAAATGGGAGTGCCTGTGTATTGCTGGAAAATCCACTGGAGTATCCTAAGTGGTCTCTGAACTCCTTGGTGGGTTGATAATTAACTATTGTTGTTTTCTGCTAGCTAACACATGAAGAAATGGAGGCAGTGAGAGATTTTACTTTCTTGGGCTCCATGATCACTGCAGATGGTGACAGCAGTCATGAAATTAAAAGACACCTGCTTCTTGGGAGAAAAGCAATGACAAACCTAGACAGCATCTTAAAAAGCAGAGACATCACCTCCATATAGTTAAAGCTATGGTTTTCCCAGTAGTGATGTATGGAAGCGAGAGCTGGACCATCAAGAAGGCTGATCGCTGAAGAATTGATGCTTTTGTATTCTGGTGCTGGAGGAGACTCTTGAGAGTCCCATGGACTGCAAGAAGATCAAACCACTCCATTCTGAAGGAAATCAGCCCTGAGTGCTCACTGGAAGGACAGATCCTGAAGCTGAGGCTCCAATAATTTGGCCACATGAGAAGAGAAGACTCCCTGGAAAAGACCCTGATGTTGGGAAAGATGGAGGGCACAAGGAGAAGGGGACGACAGAGGACAAGATGGTTGGACAGTGTTCTCGAAGTCACCAGCATGAGTTTGACTAAACTGCGGGAGGCAGTGGAAGACAGAAGTGCCTGGCGTGCTCTGGTCCAGGGGGTCACGAAGAGTCGGACACTACTAAACAACTAAACAACAAAAACAACAAACTGTCACAGAAAGAACTTCCATGCTGTCTACTTGCACCCAAACAGTGTTTTGCCACGGAGCTGCTTTTTTCATTTTATGTTACACATCTAGCTGCAGTTCACCAGTTGTGGAATCATGATGAGCACATGCAAGTGTGGCCCAATTTGACATTTCCAAAAAAACACCCCAAACTGCAACTTCTGGTGCTGTGAAGCTGCAAGTACTATCCCCTCCCTGCTTCTCTTTCTGATATCCTAATTTGACTCATAATGTACGTGCTCCTCTAATTTGCGTTGCGGTTTCTGTTGCACCGCAGTGTATCAAAATTGCACTGCCAATCTTTCTCCGGACTCAAAAGTGGCAATCTTTAATTAAGGCTGCAGACTTTTTGTAACGTTAGCTCAGGCAGACTTTCATCACGCCGACTCGGAAGCCCAGATTTGGCACGGAGCCTTCAAGATTGACGTGAAGTCATAAGATTCTGCAAAGTTTCTCTTATTAACCGCTCCCAGCGTCGGAGGCGAGAATTATGGAGTCGTCAAGAACGTGACGTGAATCCGGAGAAAAGGAAGGGCGAAGGAGGTTGATTCCTCTCGCGGTGTCTTTCCAAATCAGGCGGTGATCCTGTCAGAGCACTTCCAAACACCAAAGGCTGTTGACTAGGAAAGCGCATCTCCTCAGAGCGAGTGATTCTCCCATCATGTCACAGCCAAAACCATCCCTGGCATTGATGGCCTCCAATGTTCCTTAGGCTTTGTCAAGAGTCATCTGCAGCAGGAAGTATCATCAAGGTAAAAGCTAGTTGTGTGTGCTCTGATGTGCCACTGCAGCTAAGTACACTCAACTCTCACTTCTAACATAACGTACATTGGCTCCCAGTAAGTTTCCGAGCACAATTCAAAGTGTTGGTGCTGACCTTTAAAGCCCTAAACGGCCTCGGTCCTGTATACCTGAAGGAGCGTCTCCATCCCCATCGTCCAGCCCGGACACTGAGGTCCAGTGCCGAGGGCCTTCTGGCGGTTCCCTCGCTGCGAGAAACCAAGTTACAGGGAACCAGGCAGAGGGCCTTCTCGATGGTGGCGCCTGCCCTTTGGATGCTCTCCCAGTAGATGTCAAGGCAATAAACAACTATTTTACTTTTAAAAGACAACTGAAGGCGGTCCTGTTTTGGGAAGCTTTTAATGTCTGATGCATTACTGTATTTTAATATTTTGTTGGAAGCCGCCCAGAGTGGCTGGGGAAACCCAGCCAGATGTGCGGGGTATAAATAATAAATTATTATTATTATTATTATTATTATTATTATTATTATTATTATACCCTGCTGAATCAGGCCAGAGTCCTATCTTGCTCAGCATCCTGTTCTCACAGTGGCCAACCAGATGCCTGGGGGAACCAGCATGCCCAAGAACATCTCTTCCCTCCTGCGGTTTCCACCAACTGGAATTCAGGCACATTGCTGCTTCCATCTGTGAAAACAGAGCATCCTGGCTAAGTAGCCCTCAATAGCCCTCTCCTCCTCCATGAATTTGTCTCATCCTCTTTTAAAGCCATCCAAGCTGATGGCAGTCACTGCCTCCTGTGGGAGGGAGTTCCGTAGGTTAACTATGCAGCTCCTAGTTCTTTAAAGCCCTTCACAGCCTAGGACCCTCGTACCTACAGGACCGCTTCTCCTGGTATGCCCCACGGAGGACCTTAAGGTCCATAAATAGCAACACCCTAGAGTTCCCGGGCCCTAAGGAAGTCAGATTAGCCTCCACCAGGGCCAGGGCCTTCTCAGTGGTGGCTCCGGCCTGGTGGAACGCTCTGTCTCATGAGACCAGGACCCTGCAGGATCTGAATTCTTTCCGCAGGGCCTGTAAGACAGAGTTGTTCCACCTGGCCTTTGGCTTGGAATCAACTTGATCCCCTTCCCCTCTTTCCTTTTTCCTTTCTCCTCCTGTGATGGAACTCCTATTTGGGGACTTCCCTGGCTTTTTTCTGGCCCACGTAGGACCAGTCTGGATAGTTAGCCTTGGTGAAGACTTGACGTTTTCATCCCCAAAAAGTTTTTGAGTTTCTGCTGAAATGAGGCTGCATTTTAATATTGTATTTTAATCTTGTTTTTAAGCTGTATTTCAATCAATGGTTTTTGTACCTGGTGTTAGCCGCCCTGAGCCCAGTCTTGGCTGGGGAGGGCAGGATATAAATAAAAAAATATTATTATTTATTATAAAAGAGGCACAATAAAACAAAGACAGACAGACAAACCACTCTTCTACATGCAAGTGTCACAGGTTCAGCTGAAGAACTTGTGAAGCACTTAGAAGCTTATTCTGGCATTGAACGCTGTAGAAAGTGTATAAGGATGGTGACAATATTAGGAATTTGGGGTATCAGATTGAATGATGACCTGACTCACTTCTAAATTTTAGGGATCCTGTATCTGTGTGGGGAGGAGGTACAAGATCAGGCTTGCCAAACCAGTCCCTTTGTCTAGAGTGCCTGGAGGCGGCTGGAGGATGGATGGCGGCTAACAGATTGAGGCTGAATCCTGACAAGACAGAAGTACTGTTTTGGGGGGACAGAAGGCAGGCAGGTGTGGGGGACTCCCTGGTCCTGAATGGG